AGATCTGTGAATTTACTAATCGAGATAAATTATTGATTAATGCAAAATGATAAATTTTGTTATTTTGAAAATTATTATCATCATCATCATCGTCTAAATCAATTTCAGTATTTTCAATCATTAACAAATGATAAGTAGGTTCATTTGATTTGTTTTTACTTAAATAAAGTGGAACAATTTCATTCTTTTTATTACTGCTTTTATCAATTCCATAAACATTAATACTCAGGTTGTTTAATTTTTCAAATTTTGGTATATCCTTCAGAGAAATGGGGAATTCAAAATCATCAAACTTTAAATCAGTATCTTTAAAGTGAGGATATGAACTTGTAAGATTCTGGTTCGTTTCAGCTGGATATCGTTGTGCAATGATAGACCATAAAAAACAGTATTCATCAAAATTTTTAACATTAATCACAGCTCTTTTATCAATTATAAACTTTGGCATTCTAATAAAAGTTGAGTATCCAGCCGCAAGAGGGACATATTTATTTATATTAACACTTAAATTTATAATTTCATTTAAAGACCAACCTGACTTTTTTTGTTGAAAATCATCAATCTTAACTAGAAGCTTTTCACGAATTTTATGATCAAACCATTCATCAAAGTTTGTTGATTCTAAAATTTTTGAATTTTTAGTATTGAAATATTTAATATCTTCAATTTCCCTACCCTCTTCTAGAGCACTAAAATTTGCTGCAAGAATAACATTAACTTTCATGTTTCCCGTCTTTTTAAATGCATTTTTTAATCGAGAAATAATCATTTTCTTTGCATCACTTAGAAAACTATCTATATTTTTATGTTTTAAATTTATAACTACACCTGTTCTAATTCGATTCTCAAAAGCATTCTCTAATTCTTCCCACCTGATCCATCTCTCATCCTTTTTAAATAAGCCCGTTCCTGTTCTTCTTAATTTCTTAAACTTTCTGCTGTTTGCTTTCAGTAGTCCAATAGTTGACAAAATCTTTCTTTTCTCTCCACATGACACGGATCCATTTCTTAACAATTTGTTCAGCAATCTAATGTTCTTTACACTATTATTTATCCAAAAATTTAATTCCTCTGTTGTAGTTTTTTTACTTAATGTTTTAAAAGCATCGTTCATAATTTTCACAAAATCTTTACAATAACTGGAGCTTTTATCAGTTTCCATAACTTTGCTTGCTTTGTTTAATTTATCGAAATTCATTTTTATCACTTGAATTGAAACTTTTAGTTTTTTGCTAAAATGATTAACTCTGATCAGACTATAATAAAACTTTTAACTTTATCAATTTCTTGTATTAATTTGTTTAATCGCACTTGAATTTCACTATGCTTTGCTAATAATATGTTTATCAGCCGATTTAAACTGAAGGAATGATTTCGTTTAGAAAAATTGCTCTCTTTATATACACAAGATATGACTTATTTGACCTTGAAGTTAATTATATATTTCATAGAATTGAGGTATGATTAAAAGCTTATGAAAAGTACCGAAAATGTTTGTAAAAAAATTCCTTAGATAAAACTTAGTCAAAACAAAATAAATAAACTGTATAATAAGACCTGAAGCAATAAACAACAAGTACATGGGAAGAATTCCTTAGATAAGAATCTAATAAACAAGATATCAAATTACATGTAAAACAATAGCTTAAATAAAGACTATAATTCCAAGAAATAAATAGGTATCAAATTACATGTGGGAAAAATTCTTTAGATAAATCAAAGACATTATAAACAACAAGTAAATGGTAAAAATAGAATTGCGGTAAGATCAAAAGCATTCTTATGAAAAGTACTAAAAATGTTGACCGGAAGCAATAAATCAAAGATATTATAAACAACAAGTACATGGGAAGAATTCCTTAGATAAGAATCTAATAAACAAGATATCAAATTACATGTAAAACAATAGCTTAAATAAAGACTATAATTCCAAGAAATAAATAGGCATCAAATTACACGTGGGGAAAATTCCTTAGATAAATCCCAAACCGGAAGCAATAAATCAAAGACATTATAAACAACAAGTAAATGGTAAAAATTCCTTAGATAAGAATATATCAAATTACACAAGCAAAAATTCTAGGAAGTGTGACGTCATATCCATCTCAGCATCATGGTCTGAATCACACCCTCCCCCGTGATGTCATATCCGCCTCTGAATCGCACCCTCCCCCAAATGGTTTGAGTCTGGGCTAAAAGTGTCGGTGCAGGAATGTGTATGACGTCATTTCCGCCTAATCATCAAGATCTTACCCCCACCCAAGGGTTTGAGTCTTGGATAAATGGTTTGAGTCTGGGCTAAAAGTGTCGGTAACATGTCGGTGCAGGGATCTGTATATAGAACCGGCACTGCTTATCTACTACCTATAATTTTATTAAAATTTTTGAAAAATATTTAATTTCGGAGAAGAATTTTATTTATAAAAATAATTGACATTTTGACAAGAATTTTATTAGTTCTGAAGTAATTGCATTTTTGCAATCATTTGTAAGTTTTCAATAATTTTTTTTTAACTAAAATTCTTCTATATAATTCCATTATTTTGAATATTAATTAAATATATACATTAAAAATTTAACTAATTTCAGAAGAATTTGAATTATTAAAATTTTCCAAAAATTTAAGTTCTTCAAAATTTGTTATTAAATTACATAATTCATAATTGAAATTTTATAAAATTTCAAATTTAAACCTTTTGAAGTTCATCTATTTATAAAAATTGTAAACGCAACTCTTTTAAAATTAAATTAATTTTGAAATATTTAAGTAAAATTATTCATTAAATAATTCAGAAGTAATAATTTTATATGAGTTTTTCAAGAAATAAGTTATTCATAAAGAAATTATTGTCAAAAAGAGGAAAAATTATTAATTAATATTATTAATAATAATTAATGTAGTTTAAATTAATTATAAACAAAAATCAATCATAAACAAAAATTATAAATTTCTCTAAAATAAAAAATTGACCAAAAAGTCTATTTTAAAAAGTCTATTCCGATCATAAAATAAATTTAGAATTTATTTTATGATGAATTATAACAGTTTAGATTAATTATAAATAAAATTCGAATTATAAATTTCTCTAAAATAATTAATTGATCAAAAAGACTAAAATTGATTATAAAATAAATTTATAATTAATAATAATATTAATAAAATTATTGATTAACAATTTTAATGGTTTAGTTTATTCATAAACAAAATTCGAAATATAAATGTTTCTAAAATAAAAATTTGAACAAAAAAGACTAAAATTACGATCATAAAATAAATTTAGAATATTTTTCACTATATTTTATTCGATATCATAGAAAAATAATAAAATTATTGAATTTTTTATGATAAAGAATTATTATTACAATTTTACTCTTGAACGAAATTGTTAAAAATTATTATAAACATAAATTATATCAATCTCCGGGGACTCTTCTAATGTTTACACTCGTTATCGTTTTTTAACCTCGCTTTTAAAAGACGAAATTAAAGTTTGCAGTATAGAACTATATATGTATAAACAATCATCATTGATAAGAAAAACTATTTTCAGCAAACTATTTGCAAGAAAACTTTTTACAAATATTGTTTTTTTGGGAAAAATTTACGATAATCCACTTTTAATTTCTGTAATTAATTAAATAACAATTTTCAAATGATTTTATTACATGTGCACGAAAAATAGTATTAAATTATTAACGAAAAAATTGTTCTAAAGGCTAAATAGACAAATATTATTGTTTTAAATTATAGGTTAAGTTTGGTAAACGATGAAAATTTCGGGATTATTATAGTTTTTTAATTTAAAAAATACCTTACCATTATTAATTAATGAATAAAATTTGTAATTGAAGTAATTAGATATCAATTTGCCACTCCTTTTTAGTGGAAAAATGAAATATTTATTATTTTCATTGAATTTGTTTTGTTGATGCGACTCGTGTGTGACTTTTGACTATTGTCGTTTTAAAACAGTAGAAAAGGCTCTTTTTCCTTTGAATTTATTTTAATTCTTATATATGCCACTACTTTCGCCATCGTAAATTTCATTTTTTTACACTTTAGACTCAATTGAAATGTTTAAAATTAATAAAATTGAATAAAACACTTTGTAAACAAACAATCCTTTGTTTTGTGACGAACTTTAACGTTTTTTTGATAACAATCTGGCGGTAACTTCTAGAACCAAGTCAACAATAACAAAAGTAACTAGAATTCTCTAGTCACTTAAATGACTTTTTTTGTTCTTTTTTATTAAAATCAAAACCCTTTTGTCTACAGAAAATACTCGAAATTGCAATATAAACTTTTATTTTAGAAAATAAGTTTAGTAATGTTTACTTAAATATATTGGAGGATAGGGTAATTTTAAATTACCCGCGTAAACTAGTAACAATTTGTTAATATTTACACCTTTTTACATTGGCAATACAGACACGTGACTAACTTCATTCATTAGCCAATTGGCCGTTAAAATCAAGTGTAACCGAAATTTATTTGTCGCTAACTTTTAATCTAATTAAGCTATTAAAATAAATTAAAAGTGTATAATTATTAGTTTTTTATCGAATATTAACTCTCCATCGACTTTATAATCGTGAATAATTAACTAAATCAAGGGGATAATTATTTTTTCGCGGGATAAAAATCTTGTTGCAAAATCGAGTCAAATTGCGGGTGGTGCATAGTAAATTGGAATCTTTATTGTGCTTTGATTTGATTATTTTTAATAGAGCTTTTAAAACTATCTAATATCAAGTCGAGAAAAAACGAAGTCAATCCGCAAGGTCGAAAGAAGAATTAAAATGCAAAAGACACCCGTTATAGGGGTTAGGATGGGGCCAGGTGGTCCATTTGTGTTAGTATCAACACACACATCGCTTGTTATTTCTAAACATATACGTAAATACGTATGTGTTTGATTTAACCATGCGCGTGTGTGTGTGTGATGCTTTTAGTTGTTATTAGTTCGTGAATGTACCACCTACGTTGCTTCCTCGCGGCGCCACCGGCTCCATTCCCCCATCGGTGCTCGAAGTGCACTGACGTTAATGCGTCATTCGGGGAAGTTTCGCGTGAAAAAACGTAAATTTTCTCGACGATTAAAACAATTTCACAAGTCGGTCGGTGTGAGACAATCAGTGTTATTAAATAGTGATCAGTGTGTTTCGAATTTGTGATCGAATTTGATCTGAAAACTTGACGGAACGCCAACGACAAAACTTACACGGAGAGAGCGCGTCCCTGCCACCATTCTGAGTTTCTTCTATACATATATTCTCAATTGGACGAGGGTGCGGAATATCTCTGAGAAAGGAGGAGGAGAAATCTGTGGAAAATTATTATCTGTTCTTTAATTAGGAGATGTCATAATTCAAGGTAAGACAATATGACATTTTTTAAGGTTATGTTACTCTGGTTCTTGATAAAATTCATAAAATTACATTCATTACATTCATAACGGTTCATTGAATTCTTTAAATTTTAAATACCTCCAATCCTTCCGACTTTTTTTTATTTATATTATCGAAAATATGATTTTTTTTTTGTTTTTATTGATATTCCATGTCGTGTAAGGTAATTTTAACTTTTTTCTCTAAATGTATCGTTTCATTTGTTTTACTCGTGCTAATTGTTAAAATTAATATTTTTGACAGTTGAATACTGCTTGTCATTTATTAAAAAAAGCATTAATAACAACGTCGTTTGGCTAATTCGATAATTGAGTTAGATTTTCCTCAGGAAAGAATGTCGCGAAAAAAACTATTCATTCCTTTTTTCATTGTCAACCTTGACTTTATTTATTTTTCCTCTATTTCCTTACTTTTCTAAAATAAAATTACAATGCGTTAAGGTAATAAAACAAAATTTCGTCTAATTTAATAATTAATTGAAATTTGGATTTAAGTGCATAATTTAAGTAAAGGAGGAGTGTAAGTAAAATCTTTTTTGTTGAAAATCTTTTTTAAAACAGGAATTTTAATATATCGAATTCTGTGAGAATGAAAAAGAAAACTGTTTATTGATTTGAAATTAAATGTGTTGAGCAAAAAATATTGTCTAGGTCAAGATTTTTTCCAACAGGAGCGTAGGAATGCCTTTTTTCTCCCTCGTTGATATTTTTGGATGCAATTTTTTTCTTTTTTTAATGTCAAAAATTTAAGTTGATAATTTTTCGCTTCGAAACGAAAGAGGGATGTACGTTGCTTGGCAAAGCTGTTTGCTGGATACATTTACAGACCCGTTTCGTGCGTTCGTACATAATCGGAAGACCGCAGTCTCTATCGCCCGTTCTCGGTTCCCAGAGAGCTGCTGCTGAGAGAGAGAAAAGAGATAAAGCGAGGTAGAGAGAGGTTTATATATTTCCGTCTTTCGACGACGTCGACTCAACGACGAAAGTCGGACTCGTTTGCAGAATAGGCTTTTGAGATCGATGCGAAGCATTAGCGGAAAATGATAACAAAAAAATCTTCTTTTTTGTTGAAATACTTTTTTTGTTTGAAAATTCATTCAAAGTTTTTTTTTTCTACTTTCGTTGAATTGATTTTTCGTTGAACCGTTAATAAGTCTAAATCGTCGTTCCACCTCGTGAATCATTTGGTCCAATGTGGATATTACCGATGAATTGTAACTTCAAGGAGAAACACGACATAAAATGGATGTTGTTTGCCGGTCGATTATAACACTATACCTTGCAGTCAGAAAGAAAAGCAGTAGTATTGTATCGGAATGAAGAAAAAAAGCAGTTTCTATACCAAACTCGTTTTATATGAGCTCGCTTAACAGAAATATTATCTTTCTTTCTTTTACGGAATTTTTTCCTTTCTTGATAAATTTAATTATACCTACAAATCTGTACCTAATTATATGAAAAATTTCCCCTGTCATTTTTGCCATAAAATGTGAATTTTTAATTTAATTGATTAATTAATTATTTATTTATTTTAATCTAACAAAAAAATGTTTAGAATCTAAAAAGTATTTTAGAAAAATGTAAATTATTCAAGTGCGTGATATTGATTTTACCAGATGGTGTAAATTATTTATGGGCTACGAAATTTTTTTTCTCAAACTGAAATCAATATCCGTGACATGCTTTTTAGCGTTATAGTGTGGATATATATTTTGTTGCTTCTTAAAAGAAAGAGGAGAAAAAAAATCTCAAATTTCTAGACTTCTTTTTTTTGTATTATGGGCAACTCATCCTATCACCTCTTTCTGACTATATATATATATACTTTGTCAGAATTCGATCGATGAAGCTCGTACCTATATCTGTTATCTTTCTCCGCCAAAAGGGAAAACTGAAAAGACCACATCGATAGTAGTTTCATTATAAAAAGTAAAGACAATTTAATTTCTTCGCATGTTTCTCGTTTTTCAATTTTTTTTTACTTTTATTTTGAGATAAGTCTTTACTAATTACATTTGTTTTTTTTTAATTTTATCGTCTCTACTGTGAGAGTGAAAATAAAAGTATATCTTCTCCTCTCTCTAAATCTGAATTAGCGGAAAGAGAACCATTTTTCAGAATTTCATTTAGCCGCAAGTTTTCGAATGTTCAACTGAATAATATTTATTATTTAATATTTATACTATTTATTACTAAATGTTTATAATCTTTATTATTAAAATACTCGTAATATTTATTATTATAGTATTTATTATTAAATACTTGTAATATTTATTAGATATAAAAAACTTATAATTTTTATTATTATTAAATGTTTATAATATATTTATTATTAAATATTAATATTAATTATCAGAAATATTTTCATGGATTACTGATTGGACTGATTGCAATAAAAATTAAAAACTTAAATTTAACATTTAGAATGATTACCTAATTTTTGTGACACGTGACGCAAAATTATTGTAATGAAAATTTAATTTGAAGAAGAAATAAATAACTTTTTCGTTTATATTTGAACGACGATATTTTTTTTACTTTATTTAATTTGTAATTTTATTAAAAAAAATTATTTCGTATATAAAAAAGAGAAACTTAAATCGTTAGGAATTTCTGCGCATTTCAGTCTATTTTTACTATTTCCGGAAGTAAATTTTACTCTTTCCGAAGTAAATTAGTGAAATTACTATATAAATTTATAATTAGTAAATGAAATTAATTATTCAATTAAATAGAATTACAATTAGTAAAATGAATTTCGAGCGAAACAAAATTTACTCTAAAAATATATCTTTAAATTTTTGAACGTTTAAATAAACGTCAAAATTTTTGTTATTCTTTTTAATTTCCATTTTATTATGTTTCTATAAAATTTCGAACTTTCGTATATGAACGACAATTTTCTTACTTCTTTTAATTTGTAATTTTATTAAAAAATTTCTTTTTGTAAATTAGAAAAATTAATTCTTATCTAACTAAATGTTTAATTTAAATTATTTTTAATACATAAAATAATTTTTATACAATACAAATTCAGGCCTCGAATATATTATCAACTTTTTCGACTTATTTTCAAAAATTGCGTCTTTTTCGACTTTTCTTCCAAATATTTTGCAATAAAATACAACTTATTTCGAATTTTAAAGTATAAAAAATAACTATATACCTAGATAAATTTTTTAAAAATTATTTTTGAATAATTTTTCTAATTAAATTTTTGAAATAAACAATTGAAAAGATATTGATAATTGTTGAAATTTTGTAAAATTTAATTTAAAATAATTAATTTTTTTCAAGTATTTTATTACAATTTGTGAATATCACGGTTTGAAGAATTTTAATTGCAAATTTTGAAAATAATTGAATTCTCAAAAATTTTAATGAAAAATCTTCAAGTGTAAATTTAAAAATGACAATTAACTACTAAAAATTATATTAACAATATTTTTGAAAAAAATATTTCTTGGAATTTTTTTATTTCAATTTTTTAAAATTCAATTATTTTCAAATATATATTCAAATAAACGAAAACAAAAGAAAAAACAAAATTAAACATTTAGAATCTTTATAATTTACTGTTTTTTATTTTTTATATTTTGTATGCATTGTTATTGTAATATAAAATTTTGAATTTGAATAAGATGATATTAATAAATTTCGTCCATTTGAACTTTATAATTAATTTGATAGTAAAAAGTCAATCACCTGATTTAAATAGAAATAGTAATATTTTACTAATTAAGTTGTTAATAATAACTAATTATTACTTGAATTTATTTTTAGATTAGGTTAAAATTAAAAATTAAAATAAAATTAAAATTAAAATATTTGGTAGAGGTAACTATTTCAATTAGTGAAATTTGATATTTGTTAAAATATATAGCTTTTATTATTAATTATTAGAATTCTATACTAAAAATTAGTAAATTTTTACCATTTAGCAGGAAAACGAATTCTTTAATAATAATGAAGAAGAAAAGCAGATGAATTAGTAGAAAACAACTAGTTCATAATTTAGAAAGTACTAATTTAAATTAGTTGATTTTTTACAACTTAAAAAAATAAATACTGTAACTTTCACAATAACTATTGGAAAATAATTTGATTAAGGTAAATATCTATCTAATAATTGATTATTTGAATAAAAATAATTTTTTTCCACTGTAGAAAAACACTAAATTTTTCCTAGACACGGGAGAAAATTTCAATTAAACATTCAAATATTTTCCTTTTAAATTCCGTCTTTAAAATGAAACAATGAGTATCTAATATTGAAATTAAATTATCAGAGAGATATTGATTTAATTAATTACAGTGTACGAATGAGGGCAATTAAGAGAGTGAGAGAGAAGAAAAAAAGTGATGGGGCGCGGTTAAAGCTTTTAATTTTTCCTTTTTGTCTCCTTCTTTTGAGAATATGATGACCAATCAATCGGAAATATCTTTTATTATTTTTTTTTTCTTTAAACTATAGAAGAAGAAAAAGAAAAGATAATATTTCAAAAACCCGAAAGAAATTGGGACAAATTGAAAATGAATTAAATTCAATTGAAACAGAACTCTCATGAGAGATATATAAGGGTTTTTATTTCAAGAAATGAGGAAGGGAGAGGGAGATATATTAATTATCTCCGACATGTGTATATATAATATATTGTCGGATATAAATTTTCTGAGACAAAGGAATATGGGCTAATATAAAATAAATATATATATATATATATATATGTATATAATAGGGTTATTGGGAGAGGAAAAGCAAGCGAAGACGATGCTACCAACAACAATGGGAACGCGGGATCAATTATGCAGCGCAGGCACAATCGTATATGTATATATGGCTAAATAAAGTGTGTTGTAGTTCACGTATACACTCATCGCCTACTTCTTTTTCGCTACATAGCAGTTATGTTTCAAGAGTGCCTAGCGAGTCGTAATCTCAACAATTATTGTTGTAACCAAGTCG